ATTATAGTGTATGGAAAAGATACATGAGAATTTTTTTTACTAATATTAATAATAATATTATCATCATTTTTTTTTTTTACAATTTTTTTTTACAAAAAATATAGATATAATAAATAATTATTGTTCTATTTCGTATTTAACGTTACCAAATCAAATTCTAATAAAATCTCGAACATCTTCAATAATGATGGTTAGTGCAACAATGTCTGAAAAAGATGCACATATTTTGTGTGAAAAGATGAAGATAGAATGGAATGATCTTACTATAATTAGATAATCATCATTTGCACATCCTCACAATTTTTTGGAAGTCCAAGAAAAGAAAAAATCAAAAAAAGATGCTAGTTATGGTCAAGTTGTTGAAGAAATCAACAAAAATCCTGCTGGAAGATGTATAGTTTATTGTGCATCACCTAAAATTTGTGAAGATCTCAAAATTTATATAATTAATGAATTTACAAATTGTGAGGTTGGCCTTTACTATGGTAATTTATCTGGAAAAAAAAAACATGTGTCATTAATGAAATGGAAAACTGGAAATACTAAAATAATTATAGCAACAAATGCTTTTGGCATGGGCATAAATACTTCAGATGTATACCTTCTAATTCATTTCAATTTTCCTTTGAGTCTTGGCCAATATATTCAAGAAAGTGGGAAAGCTGGTAGAGATGGTTCACAATCAAAATATATTATTTTATATTCAAGAAGTGACTTTAAATTATTATATGGAATCATTTCTGAATTGAGAGAAGATGCAGGAGAGGATGAAACCCCACAAAGAAGAATTTATCTTAGATAAAGTTTACAAAACCTTCATGAAATAATGTTTTTTTGTGAAGAAAAATATAAATGCTTGCAACAATCATTACTTAACTTTTATGCATAGTCAACTGATGCTGCAACTTCTTCCTGCAGTAATTGTAATAACTGTCAGCGTAAAGCTGCAGACAACCCAGATTCAATCAATGTAACTACAGATGCAATTAAAATAATTGAAATCACAAGAAAGTTATTTGAAGAATTAGAAGATAATGACATTGTAAGAGATGATATAATTGGAATTTTTCTACAATTGAAAAATAAAAAAATAATTAACAGGAAATTGAACAAACTTAAAAATTTATGAGGAAAATTTCAATAGTAATAGAACAATTAGAAATTTGAAACAGGCATTTTACTTACTTGACGATTTGATAACTAAAAAGATAATAATAGAAGTAGTTACAATGCAAAATCAGGTGCAGGATTTTGGCTGACAAATTCCAAAATTATAGATATTGCTGAGGGTGCTGAAGAAATGATATATTCTCATTCTTGGGATTATTATTTATAAATAAATAAATATATATATATATATATATATATAATTTTTTTTTTTAATTTTTATTATAGGAAATTTTAATGTATATTAATACAGTCAAGCCTCGTTTCAACAAATCTTGTTTCAACAAATTTTTGTTTTAACAAATTTTGGTCTTGTCTCCCTTTTTTTATTAATTAAAAATTTTCATTTCAGCGAATTTATATATATATATCGTGTTACAACGACAACGAATTTTTTTGGTGGAATTTTTATATAAGTATTAATCGCGTTACAACGAATTCACGTGATATGCAGCATATGTGATTTTCCCCGATTTTCCAAATTACTATAATAACTATAGCAAAAATCCATTTTACTAAATAATGATTTTATATGAATAGTTTTTATGTGCGACAATTCTTCAAAATCCAAATTTCTAGGAAAAAAAAACAATAAAGAAAAATTCACATTATTATTAAAAAAACCAATTTACTATTAAATTATTATCTAAAATTTTCATCGCATGATTAAATACTAATTAATCAAACAAAATAAAATCCACTTTACTAAATAATGATTTTACACAAATAGTGATAATTCTCCAAACCCAAATTAAAGAAAATAAAGAACATTCAAATAAAATATTCTTACTATTGTTTTAATCAAACATTTGAGTATTTCTAAAATGTATAAATAAAAGCAAAATTTTCTTTTATTGGGTTTTTTAAAATTAATAATTCCTACACAATTAATAACAAATAAATAATTGCTTCTGATTTCACATAATTAATAACCAAATAAATAATTTTTGATATCATTGATAAAATGTCTCAATCTTCTTCTAAAAAACGGGTATATATCACTGCAGAGCAAAAACGCGAAATTTGTTTATTAAAAAAAGCTAAACCTCAACCAAAAAATATTGAACTGGTGGATAAATATGGAATTAGTTCAGGCCAAGTTACTGATATATTGAGAACATCTGATAAATGGCTCAAAATTGATCCAAACTCTTATGAAGCAAAATTAAAAAAACCACATGCTTCTCCTGTTGTAAATATTGAAGAGGCTTTAATTTTATGGATTGAGAAAGCAATTGAATGCAATTTAACTATTACAAGTTCTATCATTCAAGAAAAAGCTTTAAAATTTTCGGAATTATTGGGGAATAATAGCTTCAAAGCATCATCTGGTTGGCTTCATAATTTTAAGCAGAGATATTCAATTCAGGAATATAACAAACATGGAGAATCTCAAAGTGCACCCATTACACAAATTCCGATAATGAGAGAAGACTTAAAAAATATCCTTAAAGAGTATCATGCAGAGGATATTTTTAATTGTGATGAAACTGGTCTTTTCTGGAAAATGGAACCATATCGCGGATTATCTACAGGCCCTATCTCAGGTACAAAACAAAATAAAGATAGAGTAACAATATTATTAACTTGTAATTCAACTGGTAGTGAAAAGTTAATGCCATTATTTATCCATAAATATGAGAATCCGCGACCACTAAAAAATATTAACAAAAAGTCTTTACCAGTTGAATATTATTGGAATAGCAAAGCATGGATGCAAGTCTCCATATGGAATGACTATTTAAAAAAATTAGATAATAAAATGAAGATTGCCAATAGAAACATATTATTGCTTGTTGACAATGCACCAACCCATAATTTAATGGATAATGTGCAGTTAACGAATGTAAATGTGCACTATTTGCCTCCAAACACAACCGCATTTCTACAACCATGTGATGCTGGGATAATACATTCTTTTAAGGTTTGTTTGTAAATAAATATTTTGATATAAATTGATTAAAAAGTTATATTTTGACTTACCTTTATACCATTTTACAGGCTAATTATTGAAAATTATTATTGAAAAAAAAGATTAAAATTTATGACAAGAAACAAGAGGGTAAAAAACCCAAAGAATTTGATATTAAAAAAGCTATAAAATTTGTTGCAGAAGCTTGGGATAATGTTACCTCAATTACCATTAATAATTGCTGGAGGAAAACTGGCATTCTTCCATTGTCAGACAATGTAGCAGAAGAAGTTGAGGATGTAATTAATTTAGAAAGTGATATTGAAGATTTAATAAATAAATTTCCTTTCAGTTCACCATTGACTGCACAGGAATATGTATCAATTGATGATAAGTCAACTAATAGTGAAATGGTAACTGAGGAAGAGATTATTAACTCTCTTACACAAGTTGAAGAAGAGGAAGAAGTTACGGAACATGATACAAATATTCCCAATATTACAACAAAAGATGCAGTCAATGCTTTTGAAACTGTTTATAATTTTCTTGAACAGAACAATTTAGAAATAGATTATAATGAATTAAAAGCTTTTAAATCATTAAAAAGAAAAGTGACATTATATCATGTTAGAAACCAAAAACAAACATGTATTGCTGGTTATTTCAAATAAAAAATTTTTTTTATTATGTGTGTCGATCATTACTAAATAGTTAAAATTTTGTTTCAACGAATTTTAATGACCATCCCCAGAGATTCGTTGAAACGAGGCTTGACTGTATAGAAAAATTTTTCTGATCATCATGCTTTCTAATTAACAAATGATATTTGAGATTTTATACATTGATCTATATATAGAAATTCGGCCATTATTATTATGGGTTTGTAAAACTGTAAAAAATCTATAGTGCAGGATATCTATAATGGTCAATGATTATCACATGATTTTAAAAGCTTATAACTCCTTATTAAAAAAATTAAAAAAAAAAGTAAACTGATAAAATCAAAGCTAAAGACCTAAGCTTCATTTCCATCAGTTTACTTTTTCATTTTATTAGAAAAGATTTGAGTTATAAGGCTTCAAAGTTAGAACATTTTATATATGTCTATATGTAAATTGTAAAATTTCGGAATGATATTCCCTTGTGGTTTACTAAAAGGTTGATGATCGGCTTAAAAATTTTCCGTGATACAGACAATCTTTCCAATAAAAGGAATATGATTACTTAA